GTGGTGGGGTCGGCCCGACGTCTGACTCCCCCCGCCCAGCCCTGGCGACCTGACCCAACGTCTGACTCCTCTCGCCCAGCCCTGGCGACCCGACCCGACGTCTGACTCCTCTCGCCCAGCCCAGGCGACCCGACCGGACGTCTGACTCCTCCGCCCAGCCCTGGCGACCTCGCCATCGGTCGTCGCGGCGTCCACGTCGTTGTCGACCCTATTTCTGCCGTCGACGCCAACGCGGCCGGGCCCGCGTGACGGCGACGGCGGCGCCACGGCTGGCCGCGTGCTATGGGGTCGGCGCGGCACGTGGCGTCGTCGGCGTGTGACGCTGGTGGCGCCACCGGCCGCGGCCCCGTGCCAGGCGGGCGGGGCGGGGGAGGGGTCAGAGGCGTCGTTACCGCTGGCTCGCGGAGCCGAGGCGGCCGCGCCGCCGCCACGTCAGTGTTGTGGCTGGAGCTCACACAACTGCCGGCTGGTAACCGCGCAGCCAGGGGTGCAGTGGGCGCGTACCGGCAAATCATGAAAGAAAACGCCCTCTGTTGGAGGTTAAATTATATTAAATTTGGACTGTTCCGTCTTTACTGATACCTGGGGGCGACAAAATTGACAGTTCCCTTAGCTTTTGATTTAACCTTACCAAGCATGCAGCCTGCGAGCCTCATGCAATCCACGTATGGTCAAGAAAATAACGGACATTGGGTTGCTAAAGGGAGATCATGGCTCATCTAACATTATCTGCACTAAAGGCTAAACGCTGTTTTCAGGGACATGTTTGGCGCATGGATGCTGGTGACAGCTAGGTCAACTTAAAGAATTAATTTAAATAAGCTAGGTGAACGTAAATATCGTCTTCCCTGCAGACTGAATTGCTCAGTTTTGCAAGCACAAATTGGTGTTTACATCATGCCTCCCGGTTCATGCTTATGCTTGTGCTATAATAATGGTTGTTTGCCCAAACAAGTTGAGTCGCGTAGGTCATCGCGATAATAAAACATTCCTGCCTTTTCTGCTATATTAGCTCTTTCTCATGCAGTGGAAATGGGCGACTATTTTTCGCGTTTGGCAGATCTGCAGGCCTGACAGATTTATATGTTGCGCTGCGCCTGGCAGGCCGCACCACTCGCGCGCTCGGACAACTGCACCCATGTACCCCAGCTGAGCCACGTGACCCCGACCTGGTCTCGACGAGGCCCGACCATCCCTGGGGAGAGTATGAGGCAGACCAACTGCCTGTAAACCCGACGTCATCCAAATCGGAGCGTAGTGTTGCCAAGTGACCGGCATCTGGGGCGTGGCGTCCCTGTCCTAGCATGTGTTGGCAGCATGTATCCCGGCCAGCCACCGCCGGTCCTTGACCTAACAGTGTTAAGATTCCGGGAGCACATGGCCTCCAGTTATAACGTGAATCTCGTTTCTAATGTTTTCGCCAGGTTTTGTTTGGCATTGCGACCTATTCTGCATGATGGCGTTTGCATAGGCCGACTTCATATCAATAGTGCCCGAGGTCCATCCCCATTACATACCGTACGTTTCCACCCTAGTGGCTGCGAATATGAAATGTTATGCACAGGGCAAAGGATCAGCCCCACCATGCAAGTATCATCCAGCTGTATTTTGTGATAAGCGAGGAGGTGTCTGATCCACTGAATCGGCTTTTCATCCGCCGCCAACGCAGATCAGTGTCATGCTGCGCAGCGCGAGCGCCCGACTCACCTCGCCCGAACACTGCGTCACGAATGGTGGCCGCGGAGCCGTGTCCACGGTACGCGTGCGCCCGGTGTCAGCACGTACAAAGTCAGACGGACGGCGACGCCACAGATGGGTTAAGGTGGCAGGATCGAGCGAATGAAAGCGGGAGTCTGCCGTGAAAGTTAGGAAATGACGCTTATTATGCACGCGTAACTAGAAAAGCGGCGTGCGTGATCCCTTTCGTGCCGTTCTGCGTGCGTAGGTATGAAACACAATGGAGTGTTGTCCAATGTGCCTCCGATTGGTCTCATATCTCATGTTAATGATAACGCCGATCAACTTGTAAATCACCTATAATAATAACGGGCAAATGACATAATTATGATACTAATCACACTAACGGTTTACTCATGCCAAGATGCCCCGCAGCGACTGAAGGGACAGTAGGCAGCGACCCTGCTCTTCGACCTCCGCCTTTGTCCGCGCCAATCCGGGCTCATATCCTCCAGATTCGGCGCCGCGCTGATGGCCTGTCCCGCCGGGCGCCAGCGGTGTCAATGCGCCGTTGGCTGCAGCTGCAGCGGACCGCTGCGCCTCGCCGGGTGGCGGTCACCGGGGCGCGGCGCAGCGCGCGGATGGAGCGCAGCGTGCCGCGAGCCCGGGGGGCGAGGCGCATTATTCGCGTGCCGGGCGTCAGGCTGTGGCGGCAGACGACAGTCTTCAGAGAAGCAGCCGTAGGTCTCCGGCGCTGACGAGCTCCATGTGACCATTGCGGTGCGAACGCTGCCGATTAAGGCCACCAGCCGTGCGTGAAGTCGGCGGCGCGGCCGGGGAGACGCCCCATTTCTCCGGCCGGGGATCTCGCTGGGATGAGTTGCTAACTCACAACCCGACATAACTCAGCGAGAATCGCCATAATGTCACTGTCGGTTGGTTCTGCTCCCTGCCATGTGGTCGACATTTGAGATCCGCGTGTTGCTTAGTGAAGTCATCGCCATTTTAGCAGGGCATTTATAACCGGCGCATTTTGTGGCGTGCTTCGTGCTGCCGTGGCGACGCTATGCGTGAGACGGATTCCATGGTTCGAGGTGAGTCAGTATTAAGATCTTCCGGAAAGCTTGAACCAATAACCCACAAGCCGAAAATAGGTGCAATAATGGAACCACACCCGCGAGGCACGCAGCATATCGATCCCTATGCCACAACTCCTTTCTCACTTCGTGAACAGGAAGCGGCCACACGCGATGCGCAGCATAGGTCTAAAAGCATTGTTGGTCATGCCGTACGCGATCCCGAAAGCCAGTTGTGGAACTGCCGTTCACAACAAGCTTGAAGACACACCTAATTGGAAACTGGATCATACATAAGTGCGTAGTGCATCTTTTGTTTCGTCCCGTGTCCTCTGAGTGATGACATGGCCAGTTCGTGAAAGATGTTGCGTGTTCTTGTTCCTTCTGAGAAAACCAACCAGCATTTTCAAGTGGAAGACCAAGTGTTTATTTTTCGTTCCCTATTGCGAAATGGTGCTGGGTCGCGTGCAATGTGCTCGGGAAGTGGACGTCATGAAATATGAGGACACTGGAGATAACCTTCGGTGCAAGCTTCATCTGTATTTCACATCCCTGCATGTGCTTCGGGGATTTGCGGCATTGAACGGTCGTAGAGAAGCGCTTTGGGCGTCAACAAAAACGCATCCTTATGCGTGAATTCCAGCATGAAACATTACACTCCCAACGATTCCTAAAACTGCATAGGTATATTGAGAAGATTGAAAAAATGTCGAGCTGAATTTGGAAAACTTGATCGGGCCACCATGTCAGTTACAGTCCATGCAGCCAGGCCTCACGAATTCCCTGGCCGCGTGGAGCACACTTGGCCAGAGGTATATGTCGCAGTGCCACAATGCGTTTAGGTGACTACCATGAGATGTGACGTGTGATCATATGACCACCAGCCACACAGCTACAAATGGAACCTCCAAAGAACCTCGCATTCTTTTTCCGTTTGCTTCGTTAATGATCAGCTTGGCTACCGCTCCTGGCAGGCACACGTTTGTCGGGTAAAAATAGACACTGTGATATATATGGAAGCTGAGATATGGCACCCTTCCCGTGCTGTTCGAACAAACCCACAAACGCCTTTTCCCTTGTGTATTGGCGTCACATTTGTCAAAATCATCTGTACGTTGTCAGACACATTTCTACAAAACATTTAGTCCGATACAGCTCGCGAACAGGGAACGCGGCGTGTGGGTTTTAGTCGCATCGGCGGCGCGGGCACCAAAACTACCAGGGGCTTTGTTTACTGGTGTCAGCTGCATCAAGCCAATGTGTTTTCACAGGGCACACGAGTACTCACTACGCAGTAGCTACGCTCAAACGAAACAAGCTTCTGGAGGTGAAATACGCTCCAGCACTCTTAAAACTTGACGGCTTTCTGTGCACATACGCATTGTGCGCGCATTGCACATTGAGCCCGGTGAATGTGGTGGCCAAAATATATTTGCGGTTTACACGTTGCTTTAAAAAACCAAATGTTGTCAGGCTGTTTGGAAGCAATAATACGGACCAGTAGTGCGGGATCCCCACGCCATGTCTTTCGCCATCGTGGCTGGTAGTTGCACACGTCATTTTTGGTTCAGCTGGCGCCAGCAAGTATTTACGAAGACCATCTCTGCAATGCATTTGTTGAGATCACGCGATCACCACAACTGGTATTGACATCTCTTGGCCTAAAATTACGAAATAATTTCAGCAGCATGCTAGTGCCTAAATGCTATGACGCGGACAGCCAGGAAAAAATCGGGAAGCATACTACCAGTTGCGTGGATGAAACGTCCTGCAGTATAATACTTTTGACAACAAGCATTTCAAAATATACTACAAAGACAAACTACCACAGAGGTTGGTCACATAAATGTCGGTGCGCAATAAAGAACCCACCACTTGTTAAGCAGCTACGCGCCTTAAAAATCAACAACAAAAAGGAGAATATTCATATAAATAGTACAACATGATCAACAAAGCTCTGAACGCATTTTAAAAATGCTCACACGACTGAACATGCTGATCACTTGGGCCATGAATTAATATACGTTCATGCAATGTACCTAACCTATGCACTTTACATGCACCATGACGTGATTCTAGAATTAAAAACTTTCAGACGTACAGACGACAAACGTCCAAGTAATATACGTCATAACAAGCTTAGCTAAGGAAACTCCTTGATTTCACACTCAGAAACTCCTTGGTTTCAGCTGCTCTCAGAATTTCATGTTCTTATCCGCGAAGGATGTGAGTTTGTGACCAAGTCATGCACACAGCCATACCAAAGCGGTGGCTCTAGGCCACAGGGGCGGGCTTGCTCTTAACGAGACCAGCGAGGGCATGTTGCAAAACATATATCTAGCTCTACGACGAAATGGAAGTCACTATATTTAACACCATTCGCCCATGTACCACATAGAAAATTCAGGATACAAAAGCTCCGAGCACTTAGTAGAGCCTACATTTCGACGAGGACTGTTTCCCATGGGGTTTAATACGTGCCCAACCAACAAACACAAAACGGGACGTAAACGAGCAAACTCATATTGCTATCAATATCTTCTCACTCAGCAAAGAGTCATACTGCTGTCATTTTGTTTGGGTACTGATCATGGACTGACAAAGAAGATTCCGATGGTGCCTGAAAGATAAACGCCATTTAAATGTTGAATATCCTACAAACAAGACAAGTTTTGTCAGTGGTACCAAATGAATATAAAAACGTGTAGACTCATCGAGGAAGCTCCCTTTTGCATCGACGGGCCCTGACAGTGTTCAGTTTCTAATACCACCCCAAAGCCTTTAATCGGAACGACCTGAGGCATTTCAGGGTGGAAATGCTTGGTACGCCATTTCCAAATTAATATTAAAAGCACGTTCGTAAAATAAAAGAATGTAATGAAGACAGATCATCAGATGTGATGAAGACACCCAGATCTTCAGGTTTTGCGAAGTTTTTCGAACGCGAGCAAGATATCATTTTTGGGTCTAACTGACTGATAAGCAATGCTTAAGCTCCTGGTCATCTTTCTAGCCGGTTGACTCGCGTACCGCTCGAGCAGCTGTACGTTTAAACGAACAATAGAAGCGGGAAACAAACAATTCTCATGACATGAGCTTGCGGAGATTTCCCGAAGAATGCCGGCGGGCGCCTCCGTAGATGCCCAGCCCACAGATATCACAACCGCTGACTAGAATCAGCGACCGTGCCGCCACAGAGCATCGGGTACATGCACAGTACACACAGTTCTATCACAGCTCACGCACCAGTACGAGAACAGAACGCACCTACAACCGGAACAGGTCGCCAGCGAGTCCACCGCAGCGACACCCGCGCGTGTGGCGTGTGCTTCCGGCGCCGCGGCCCTCCGGGGGAAAATAGGACTACGAGCTCGGCGCTAGTTGGTCTGCTGCTTTGGCAGCAGCTGTCAGTCGTCGGCCAGTTCAAAGTGGAATTTGGCCCTCAGAGGCTGAGTGAGTTCGAGCTGCGACACGGAGGTCACAGTGTTCAGATTGCTGTAGCCAGACTCCTCGATCGTCTCCAGGTCGTTCTGCAAAACAGGAGCGGTTATTAGCAGCACATCTGGAGTATAAATTGTCTGCACCTGCTAGGTAGCGGGAAGCGACGGTGCCGAACAGGCTCGTGACCGGAATGAGTGCAGGGTGTGTCCGGAATGGGTGTAGGGTGTGAGGAGGAATTTAGGTTTTGCATGAAAGGCAAGTGAGATCTCGAAATTTGTGGACAGGTCTTTGAATGGGGAAAGTCAGACTCCCCTGTCTTCCCGCCAGACATATGGTGGACCGAGGCGACATTTGTGAGCCGTACGCTTAAGTTCTTATGCGCTGATATCTCCCATGACAGCCGCAATCATCAATAGTTAGACATGATGCACTGAACATCCAACAGGGTCAGTCAATTCGGAAACAGATGGCCAACGTCTTTTACCGCACCATCTGTGCTGCAATGTATGTTGGTAGCCCCGACACCTATGCCGTGACGTAATCTTTCGCAGGACATGCACGGGTGGGCATTATGTGATCAAGCATGAGATGGTCAAGTTACAGATTCAGCAGTTGCCAAAATGAGTAGGTCAATAAGTTAATTCAGATTAGACTTTTCTAATGTTCCATACTTCATCATTTGCTCACGGCAACTTCCAAAAATATCCTTGCTCGTAAACCTGATCGACTGAATTCCTTTAAACGGTAGGAAATTGCTCGAAATGACACTAAACGTCACGGTGCGAACTGACTCTGTTAACCGCTGTCGATGCCCAGTGCCTCTACCAGCCAGCTGTGACGGTCCCTGGGTGACGATCCGTAACCAGCTCCAGTAACCACTCATTAAACGTATGCGGCCCGATAGCTCCCAGGTAGGAGCGCCTGCCTTCCGATTGCCCACCCGCGGCGGGTCGGGCTTGACTCGCTTTAGGCTTAAGGTGTCACTGTTTTCCCGGCTGCGATGACCTGTGGCTGGTGTCAGCGGCCGTGCCACACGTTAGGGGACGTTAGAGGGCAGAGGGATCAAGCGTCGCCGCAGATTCAGCTTTCGTCGCAAAATTCTGCGTTGATTCGGAATTTCACGGTCGGTGGAGGGGCTGAGGGCTTCCACAACAAGCACTGCATAGCATGGGCTCTCGTCACAGACATCCAACCGATCAAAAGGTTTAGACTAAACCTGGATGACAAAATTAGAACTCGCAGTAAACCTACCGAGTGACCGCCTCCGGAAAGCATCGTTACCTATCACCCACTTCCGCTAATCGCTGAGGCTAATCGTTCAGCTCCGATAACCAAAGGCTAGCTGACCAGCCCAGGTGAATGCGACCAGCGCTGCCGACATCGTCTGTGTCATGGTCCCGTCTTACTCACGTCGCAGTGCATCTTGGACTCCCGCGCGATCATCGGCAGGGTGGAGGAGGCGGTGCCGACCCGACGCAGCTCCGCTTCAGACACCTCGTCGTCCGTCGTCAGCAGCTTGCCCTGGCACTTGCGCACGAAGAGGACGACGAAGGGGCGGCAGGATGCCGGCAATGGCCAGCAGGGCAGCAACAGCGAGCGCGAAGTCCGGGTACTCCCGCGTCACGGTCTCCCCCTGTCGGCGCGGCGACGGCCGTTCAGGAGGGGCACGAGCGCGCGGGGTCAGGGGGAGGAGGAGGGCCTGGGCACAGGAGCCTGCAGTTACAGACACGGGCCCGGCAGACGCGACAGCGCAATGTTGTGGAAGGCCAGCGCCATTTTACCCACCCGAGGCAAAAATCCCCTGCGAGCGATTGGGTGAAATGAATCGGACAAATGGATCAGTACTGCAAAACGCTGACAGCAGCACGTAGAAGACTCAAAGACAGTGGGGGTTTAAGCCAACATTTTCTCTGTGATCTTTGTCACTGTTGACCCTGGTGTCCTCAGATAGGGTCATGCATTTATTTTTAGTTTCTTGGCGCCAAAGGCTCGTCGCCTCGATTTATTCCCGAATTTTGAATGTTTTTCGAAGTCAGTTATAGGTTTACAAATAGTACGGCTAAATTTTGACGCACGAGCGCCGACTGTCAGGTTCCACCCCAGGAGGGCACAGCCATGGCCAGTGATCCGCACGGCCTAAACCACGGGATGTGTATTGGCAGCTCATACAAGTGAAGACTTAGCTCCAGCATGCTCGATTGCAAATAAATGAGGGAACAGTAGGCAGCAGCTCCATCACCAACCCATGCCGGCAGTTGACGCAGCGTAGCGGAATCAGAGTCTCACCAGATGGCGGTCCCAGGCTGGGTAGGTGGGTCGGTTCATGAACCGGAAGACGACTGAAGCTACCAGGACGGTGGCCATGACCAGGGGAGAGATGTAGTTCCAGCAGAGCTTCCAGAACAGGCCCGGCCTCTCGCCCGTCATCTCCTCAATGTCAAGCGCAAACCTGACCGACAGGCAGCACGGTGACAGACTGACACCGTGACAGAATGGGCTGCCACTGACATTCTTGGCGATGAGCAGCCAGACGCGTGATGTGGGGATGCATGGAGCTGGAATACCTGACAGCCAGGGGACGCTGTGACATGGTGCTTTGACATCATGAGTGCGGCATAGCAATGAGATGCAGTGGTCGGACATTGTAACGCGATAATCTGACATGACCTGACACCGTGGACAAACCCTTGGGTGGAGGATTGCCCCGATTTGGAGGAATTTTCCTCCTTCCCCACTCGTCACTCCCTTGAGTTTGTTTTTATTCCTCCAATATTTGATTAACATCATCCAAAGGTTATCAGAACAATACAAATAAAGGTTTTCGAGATAATCTGACCTTTTCGTCCACATATTAATTTTGATGAGACCCTCCTGTCAGCAGCTACTGTATTGTTCGACAACACCTGATACAAAGTATTAGTTCAGATGCGATCATGACTCGGGCGCGTGTCCTCATCAGTAATGCAACTTTTCGCGTAACGTCCAAGGCCGGATATTACACGCTGCCCGGAATATAGTGTAGAAAATGACACAGTGACACCACCTCCGACGACGATAAAAGACAGAATGATCATTCTGCCCATTAGCAGATGTTGCCACATAATGAGCCGACAATGCGACGGAGCGGGCAGAAATTTCGAGTCGCTGCGCAGTGATGAAGTGACGTTGATTCGACTTTCACAACACAAACAGCTGATAACGTTACACAGTCAGCTGAGGTGCAGCCGTAAGGCGGTAGTTTTGACTTGTAACACAGTGAGCTGACATTGTTACAGTGAGCTTACGTTGTGCGCACTGAGCTGCACTGGGGCGGCAGACACGCACAATTTTGGAGCTCTCCCAACCGGACAACTACGCAGGGTAGTTTACGTGTCCTGATTCTAGCAGTAGGCACTCATTAACTGAAGTGTTCGAGCAGTGTGAATGTTGCCAGAGCTGTACACAGGCCCCACTCAGTAGCATTCATTTGCAACAGATCGTGTCTGTTATTTATCGGCCACAGCAGGGGCTGAAAACCAAAGACGTCGGGCTCAGCTGTCTACGTTGAACAGCACAGGTGGCGGGCAGACGTTGTGAGCGTCGTAGTCAGTACAAAGGCTTTCCTCATCAAGCTCGCCATTTGTGTGGCTTTTCGTCTGCACCGGTCAGGGAGGCACCGGCCGAGAAGCCATGCAGGAGTCAGCCTGATCCTGCCGTTAAAACCCCGTGCCCGGTCGTGTTTGGGGTGATGGTGTTGGAGGGGAGGGGAGAGGGCAGGACAATCGTGGCATTTTAGTTCGATCGCACTCAAAATCGTGGCAATTGTTTGTTGTAGTCAATTTCTTACATTTGACACTGTTGAGGCAAAACTTTAAAAACCGAACACAAAGAAACGTCCAGACAAAGAGCTCCATACTGACAAAACATCAGTTTGCTCACTTTTTGTAGCCGTAGACGTAACAGACAGCTAGCATCTCCATGAGGGCGATAAAGACCAGACCCATGGTGCCGGCAAACGAGTCGAACAGCTTAAGCCAGTACTCGCCGGCTCCAGTGGTGAAGATGAGCCCGATCAGAAAGCAGGTCACGCAGATGACACCTGGAAGCACGGAGGCCAAACTCTGTCAGCTGAGCGTAAACAACGGGGAGGCAAGTTTCAACAACATTCGCGAGCGTGATTGTCGTGAACGTGGCCTACAGGTCTGGGCCAGGCTGGTCCTCATGACCGCCGATTTACGGGGGCGGTGAGGGTTAAATTTGTCTAAACTAATGTAACGACTGTCGTGCGGGCGAGGGTAATAGGCCACCTGCACTCCAGCCAAAGGCAGCGCTCATGTTAAACAACCAGCCTTCGGAGCCGCCGACAGCTGCTCACCGCTCAGCACCGACTTGGAGATGTTCCTGAAGAGCTTGATGTCGAACACGGTGGTGATGACGCCTTCCATAGTTCCGAACTGGGAGCCGAGGCCCAGGGAGATGAGCATGAGGAAGAAGCAGATGGCCCAGAACGGCGCTCCCGGCAGCTCCACGATGGCTTGGGTGAAGACGATGAACGCCAGCCCCGTGCCCTCGGCCGCCTGAGGGGAGGTCAGAGGTCAGCCGGTGACGCCGGCATCGAGCCAGCGTGCTGGCTGGATTCGTCTGGTTATTGATGGGAGCTTCAGCAGAGCACATAAAATATAGAGCAATTCCACCGGAAGGGACGGCGCCCGGACGATGGCCGCCGGCCCGTCATGGACAGAGGCCTGCCGTGGCTGACTTGGCGCCGCGGCTGGAGTTGACAGTCAGCGTTATGTAATACGAGGAGATGGGGGTGTGTGCCTTACGGTCCAAGTGACCTCGCTTTGATTGCTTGGCAAGAGGCGGCTTTGGTCGGAGCTCCAGAAAGCTGAGTCAAGCGCGGTTTGTATCTGTGTTCTGTCCCATATCACACCATGAGATGAACATTGCGTTGTTTTCAGAACCGAGGAAGCTGCTCCATACCTAATCCACGTCCGGCACTTCTTACTGAGCCCAACGGAAGCAATACATATATATATATATATATATATATATATATATATATATATATATACCCAAGGAGAAAGGCACGGCCATGGGTGTAGTTTTCTATTCAGCTGGGTGGGGGTGGGGGTTGATCCGACCCCTCAAACTTAAAGAAGAAAGAAAGCAAAGCCGGGGTAGCCCCGCCTTTTTCATCTTTCCACTGTTTACCAAAATTTGTAAGGAACTTTATTCATGGGCGCGGTGTTTTAAGCTGGCTGGCCAGCCGCCGATAACCACGTGGCCATCACTGTACTCAATAGAGTTCAACAGTTGAGTCCGCTTGAAGGCCGTCGGGCCTTGACAGGCGCATGCTTGACACCACCCCATGGGTGCACGTCCTCAGCCAGCTATCCATAAATGTTTGTAAATGCTTCGATTGAGTTCACGGAATGGCATGCCGTCTGCGCTCCAGCGTCAGCATTGCGTCGCCGTTCCGCGCGGGACACGCAGCCACGTGGCTCTGGTACGAGCGCACGGAGGGTGACGTGCAGGCGCCGCCCCTGGCTGCCGAGCCGCCGGATTCGTCCGTCTCCCGGTCATCCGAGCTGGTGGGGTTTGTTGCAGCTGGCCGAGGTCAAACGGCGGCGAAATCGGAGCCGCCGGTCGGCTCCGGTTACACCAAATGCCCAGCATCCCCGGCAACGGCGTCTAGATCCTCTAAATATTTGGCGCCCGGTTGGATGACGACCAGGGCTGGGCCTTGCCCACAGTCGGCGGCGGCCTCTATGTTTACCCGGCCTCGCCGCCCCCGGAGACCGCCCCTCCCTCTCACCCCCGCCACCGTCACTGCCACCGGCGGTCACCGGGGAGGTTCAAGTTCAGGGCTCTGACTGCCTTCCACCGCCGCCAGGTTTGGTCGGACGGCAGATCGCCCGGGGCCTCTGTCCCCATAGCGTTCAACGACTAACGAACGCCACCAGGAAGCGGCGGCAGGAAATAAAATCCCGTTTTGCCTTGGCGACATGGTGAATGGCCAAAAGACGGGGTGTAAAAGGTGGAACATGGCGGGCAGGGATGGCAGCCCCCCCCCCCCTCTCTCTGCGTTCCCCCAGACAGTGTAGAACATTGGTCCTGCTGCAGTAGTCAGGTGTGGTAATGGGGAGGATTGCCTTCCCATGTCTTACCCACCTGGTTCAGCTGGTTCTCGAGGCTGCAGTTGTGCTGAGGAATTACCTCTGAGAGGTTGTGGGCCAGCTCGTGCCTGTAACACAGACATGAGCCTGATGAGGATGCCGCATCGTCCATCGATGTAGGGTAAAAAGATGACAAGTTAACTGGTTGCGGCAGGTTATGTCGGCTGGAAACAATGGGTGTTAAATTCAAACAAAAAGGCGAGAACGTTTACCACCGAGCAAAAAACGCACTAGCTTTCCAAGGTGGATGCGTCCAATCCGCGAAGGCTTTCGGCGGAGACACAACGGTCAGAGAACGCTTTGCACGGTCTCAGTTGGCTGAGTTGTTATCGCTCTCTGATGTCAAGACATGTTCTTTTTATAAACCTTGGCTCTGAAATCGCGAAGATTTCCAAAGTACATATACGTATTCATGACCAATGGATTACAACTCGCTATTAATAGAATGGAGCCCTACCACGTACTGCTAGTTAGTTCCCGTTACAGCGCTAGCTTTCGTATTGAGTAGGTGGCACCATTTTCATTACGTCCGGATGACTCAAAACTTACAGTTGATCAGAGATCACTTCGGCAAAAGTTAATTATCCGTTCAAATTTTGCGGATTATTCCTCCTCAACGAACGACAGGTGACCCTAATATTGATACTAATGAGGACCAAATGACAACTACGCGAGACAGCTCAGGGCTGTGTGTTCCTATCGAATCAAGCCAGGTCTATGATCCCACCAGTCTAAGTGCAGACAAGAAGCGGCGAGCCACAAATCAAGGTTCACTCACAGATGAATGCACTTCTCGTGGTTGACGACGGCCTTGAAACCGAGCACGGAGAAGATGACGATGGAGGCGAAGACGGACGTCGTACAGTTGGTGATGGACACGACGAGCGCGTCCTTGCGGCAGTTGTTCTTCGGCGGGTTGTACGAGGCGTAGGCGATCAGCGAGCCGAAGCCGAGGCCCAGCGAGTAGAAGATCTGGGTGGCGGCGTCCATCCACACGGTAGGGTCCTTCAGACGGTCCAGCTGGGGGGGGGGGGGGGGGGGGCAGCATGCCTGAGTGAGGTCACGGTTCAGCGGTCGGTGCAGACGGCTGGCGGGCAGTAAGCTTCTGCCCGCCAAATGTCAATCAGAGACCGAGCGAGATGTATGCAGACATCATCTGCACGAATGACTACCGTCTGTGTAGTGTGAGCGACCAGGAGTGTGACAAGAGCCAGAGACGGGCCGGAGGCGTAAATAACCAAAGAGGATAGACCGACTGCTAGGCCAACATTATCGAGCCTATTAATCGAAGATGAGTGGCCATCAAATGGGAAGTGGTCCCCAAATTATTGAGTGCTAGTCCTGGGCATTGTGGAGACGGTTTACGAGTTGAAATGTCAGTGATTCAAAGCAGTGAACGAGCCTTCTAGTGAGCGACCACCCCGAACCATAGCCAACATTTCAGTCAGGACGGACTGGGCGGTGTCTAGTTGGTAGTCAGTCTCGAACAGCAGGTGTGTGGGGGGGGGGGGGGGGGAGGGCAGACCATGACCAGACAGGTTTACATCACGGAGCAGACAGGTTCGGTCTACTCGGGGTAGTTAATGGGTCACGTGGTCACGTTAATGGTCCCTGGGTCATGCCCAGTGGACCAGCCACGCCTGTTTGTTCTGCAATTTGCCGGTCCGCGGCTAACTGAGTGCCGGCCGGGCCGAGCGTCGCACGTGGCCGGCGCCGACGCGGCCTCCGCAGCACCTCCTGCACGACCCCCTCTGGCAGGAGGACTCATAATCGCCCGCTCCCCGTCCATCGATCCCAGGCACGACCTGGCACCGCGCCAGCCAGACAAGTGCGACACAGCCGCCGGCTATATTGACGGCCTGGTGACGTCAGTCGAGCCTGGCGTCCCATTGGTCCACCGGAGGGTGTGCTGGAGGAGGGGCGCCGCTATTTCGGCGCCTCCCACGTAGGTCGTATTAACGGGGACGGCTTGTGCGCAGTAGAACTTCGTCGCCGTCTCGTGACTCGTAAGCTCTTAATCAGTTCCGGCGCTGGTGCGTGGTGCGTCTTTTTCGGCCATAGTTACCAGAAAACCATTGCGAAGGATTATTTCATATTTTACTGCGGTGGTAGCATTGTGCAATCGCTGCTGGTTAGATAACGGTCATCGACGGATGTGCACGCAGGCTATCGTAGCGGTGAGCGATAACCAATATCATGTAAGCTACAACCACTACGTCATGATAGTGCCCCTTCTATCGCACACAGCAGCTGGAAAATGGAACACGCTGCATTTCAGCAGAGATTTTATCCATGCATGCCTTTTGGCGAGGCATAGCATAACATTCTGGTATGCTCTTATGCTGACGGTAAACAAACGCTGTCTGCGAAAAGGCCTCAAAAAGGGGGAGCTCCGAGCATTTCGTTGATCTCGAGGGAGTCATAACGCACGTTCAGCGTGCGATGTAATGTTGCTCCGAAGCCTGGCCCTCTACCCAGGTCTGCAAGTCGCGAATGAGAAAAGAGCGGTCATGACGCCCCAGGGATCGTTGCATTCTAGCTGTTGTGAACGTTCTGGGAGCCGATCCTATCTGGAGCGTAGGGGCGGCGCGGCGCAGTAGACGGTCAATACACTGTTCTCCGAACAACGTCCAGGGTTCACTCTCATGAAGGTACCGCCTGTATTGGTGCCGTCGGAGTCTTGTCTGAGGGTGGCGGAAATCAAATGGTAAAACTGCATTCGCAGACAGTTCGAATCTGTTTACTTGGTTTGGCAACACCCCCGCGAAACGTCTGCAGAAACCGATGGTGACAGGGACCACACTCCTCCAGAGACTCAGGATCCCTGTTTACAATGCAAAGCTATTGACAATAGTGGCGCCTCTGGTTGTAAATAAATCTCGCGCTATTGGCAGCAAAAACGCGGTCCCATCCGACAGATGGCAGCACCCTGTGAGCGAAGGAGGCCGGCCAGGTGCCGCCACATTCTGGAGCCCAATCTGCCGCTAAACGCTGTTCTTTTTTCATTTGGGTGATGTTCATGTCCAGTTCACAGGAGTGTACCAAATCTCATTGAACCAAACAGTCCCCAAGCTTGGATACAGGCGTTATTCCTACGATCTACTAAATATTCGATCAAAACCTGTGCAACTACCGGACAGGAGCACAAGGCAATCTATCCAGGAAACAAAAACAGCTGAGTAATCTAACACAACCAGGCAACAGAAGCAAGATAGAAGCTTCTACTTGCGCGGACCTGAATGGGCTATAAGATTCGTCACCTACAGTTGCTGCTCTCCCTTCAAGTAAACATCGATCGCCAGATTCAAAGAACCCTACCTGCACGTGAAGCGTTACACCTGCACGCTAAGCGTAAAGCCTGCACGTTAAGCGCAGGGTACCGCCTGCTGTTTTAATTACCTTCGGGTAGAGCATGTGCTTCAGTCCGACGCCGGCTCCCTCCAACGTTACGGCCCGGAAGAAGAAAATGGTCAGCATCAGGTACGGGAACGTCGCTGTGAAGTAAACCACCTGCGGACAGACACCGGGCTCAGTCGAGTTTAGTCAGCGAATAGTCACCGGTGAAGTCACAGGCATCCCGTCGTCAATCTGTTATTAATTGCCGCATTTTAATTGTATGAACTGAATGGCATACCAGTATGTAGAGACCGGCGATCACCGGCTCAGATATGCCTGATGATGGCCGTTCATAAAGCACAGCAATCAAAAACAGGTGAAATACTACTGCTGTAAACATACACATCGCGTGTATAGCGCTTCCTTGACTACAAGCAAGCAATAATATCATCTGCACTCACGTGGTAATAGAAGGCAGCACACCTTCAAGTTCTCGTCCCCCAGCAACTCTAAGCCCCTGATGGCCGGGGCACCTCTTCGCCCTCCCCCGTCCAATCCCTCTGACAACATCGTCGCCGACTTCGGGCCCACCTTGCCGGACGACTTGATGCCCTTGCGGATGCAGATGTAGACGACCGTCCAGGCCAGCAGCAGGCAGAGGGCCATCCACCACTTGATGCCCTGCGGCTGCTCGATGGCGGGCGACGCGTCCAGCGTGTTTCGGTACCAGAAGAAGGCGGTCTCCGAGGACTGGGCGCACTCGAGGTTCACCGTGCCGTTCGGGCCGTCCTGAGGGCAGCTGGACCACGGCAGCTTGGCCTGCGAGCGAGCACATTGGACAGGTCAGTAGGGACTGCCGCCGTAGGAAACTGGACTTTCAAGGGTGTCCTGCGAATGGAAACAGTGGATAATTGTAGGGGCTCTTGACCGCGACCGCGACAGCTTGGCTCGCGAGCCAGGACAGCGGAGAGGTCTGTCCATGGCTGGTCGTATCGTGTACGGATGTGTTAGAGACAGACCTAGTTACTCCGCAGAGAACCAAAGCCGGTGAGGGGCCATAACGGTTTCTCAATGCGTTCCTTTCTAAGCACGGTCATAAAACTTATATAACGTTTCGCACATTTCGGTGGAGAACATGTCTCCCCCTCCCTACATGTGGCGGAGGCCGACCTCAGGGCCAAGCGCACCGGGTCATGGCGCCAGAACTGCGCCGATTGGGAGCACAGACAGTGAAGAGATTGGAAATAAATTATGAGAGACGCCGTGGAACTCGTTACAGACTGAACAGACGACGTGCTTAGCATGTTTAACTATTCGAACGTGACGAATGCACCGCGAATGAAACGGCTGAATAGAACGGCACTGGGTTTGCTTTTCCTAATAAACCACACGAACCACTCTGCGCTGGCAAGATATGCAGTTTGCACGGGCGGGTTGCACTGAAGTAAGAGCTGCAACACACGCCATACATTGCACAGACCGGACAAACTAGACAGGCTGAGCAGACTAGACTAGGCATAGTAGAAGCACCCACTGCTGTTGAATGAGCGGATAGGCCGCGGCTGGCACAGCAGCCCTAACGTGTCAGGGAATCGTCAGAATGGGGATGCGGACCCGGACACCGTGTCTTGCCGATGGAGCCAAGAACGACAGATTGCGTCAGCGGGCACTGATCTACGCTGGTGCAGCGTAGATCTGCTGATGCAGGTCTGATCTACGCTGGTGCAGCAGCGGCAGCACGTATTCCGATTATCTGTTAAGGCAGGCAGAACTGAAAACGGTACCGTATAGGAGCATCTGCGGGCCGATGGATGGCCTGTTGGAAGTCGTTTTTGCGAAGTAAGCTCCATGTTGTGCCAGCACCGGCCGGACGAATGCAGAGCACAGTGGAGCGATCGAATTTCTTTTGAACGCGTGGCAGCAGCAAACTATTAAAACGTATTTTCAGGACAGTTATTTACAAATGTTGTTTTTGTGGCGCGTAGCAGAAGGAATCTGTTTGACTTGGCATTTATTTTGGCTTGTGTTTATGCATTTTCCTGCACAGCGAGCGTTAACAACCCCTGTAAGACAACGCCTGGGGTTTCTCACAGCCTGGATTTTGCATCATCAGTTATGTCTTACGTTTCAAAGACGTGTCAGTGGAATGTCACAATAAAATAGCGGTTCTGCGCAGCATTCGAAAATATTAACTCCTCGAACTTGATTTTCGAAGGCACCGAAACACAGCTACTGACGCTTTTTGCACGTCGCCGAAAGTCCAAAATGATGCCAGCATTTGATGTGAACACTGCGCGAGTCTCGAAGCGGCTTAATTTGCACCGCTCCACGGGTACCGGATCCACAGAAACCGGATCCTGGTACCACGGAAACCGGATCCTAACATCACCCAGCCCGGGAATCATTTCCAAGTCCGCCACGATCGTCTCCGCCTCGCTGCACGTGCGACGTGGCTGCGGTCAATACCGGCTGCCCGGCGCCGCCAGCGAGCCAGCGCAGCCCTCCGCCGCGAGCGAGCCTGCACTCCCGGCGCGACCGCGCCGCATCGGTTCGAACCACGCGCCGCCGCCGTCGATCCGGATTTCGCGGCGGCCCCCCCGTCGTCTGCGACGCAGTTCCATGGTTGACCCGCCCCGGCGGCGGCCCTTCTTGCGCGGCGGCGGGAGCGACCCGGGCGGCAAGGTCGCCGGCGGCGGCTGACAATCGATCGTCGACACCGACGGCTGCGCAGCCGCAGTCGACGGCGGCGACCACGCCCGGTCGCGGCCGGTTCGGACCGGCTCGAGGCAGGCGGGTTTGGATCCGAGCGGAGGGGGAGGGCGGGGGGGGGAGGGGTTGGAACGCGAGGGACGCTGGTACCGGTGGCCAATGAGGCACCGATCCAGGGGCGACGCGCGGGGCACAGGCTGTACGGATGCTGTGACGTTTGGCTGATCTGTCCAGGCGGCTCACGACTCGTGTTTCTTTCTCGCGTGTTCATTCCCCAGTGGCCAAGCCCAGTATGTATGGGCAACAACAACCGTTAGTCGTGACCTAGGCAAACTTCCGTGGACTTAGTAAACCTTTTTGACCATGTCTCTAATTTGCGTCACGCGACGGTAGCTCTGCCAACTGCAGTAGTAATAGATGACCCAACTGTGGACCCGCACAACCGACGGCTGACGTAAATGGTTCATGAATCTGACCAACCGTGAGTTGCGACTTAAACTGTCACCGACAGTGGTGATGTGAGGGCATACAAGAGGAAAAAATGAAACCTTATGTTCACAGCAAGAGTTGTGAGGCAGTGAAGCTCTGTTTGAACCGCGAACCACACGATCTACTCACGGTGAACGAGTTGAAGAGATAGTAGAAGCACCAGCTGATGATCACGTTGTAGTATAGGCCGACAAGGAAGGACACGACCGTAGACGAGAGACCAATCCCACCTGTGAATGATAGAAATTAGCTCTGAAGCGTTCGGCATGTAAAACAAAGTGAAGAGGGTAGTATTGCCACGAGGTTCACTGAAGGTCAAACGCGCATGGAGTGCGGGAGCCCTGTCCTTTCTGAGACATCATGCTTGTTCATGCATTCGCTCACTCATTCAGTTAACTGTTCACCTTCTCTTCTTATTATGAAGCAAATGCGCACACACACATGCATCGCAAGGAAGTATGCCTTCGTTGATTCATGGACCTTTACACTCAAACACGACCGAAACATATTGATATATATATATATATATATATATATATACGTGTGTGTGTGTGTGTGTGTGTGTGTGTGTGTGTGTGTGTGTGTGTGTGTGTGTGTGTGTGTGTGTGTGTGTGTGTGTGTGTGTGTGTGTGTGTGTGTGTGTGTGTGTGTGTGTGTGTGTGTGTGTGTGTGTGTGTGTGTGTGTGTGTGTGTGTGTGTGTGTGTGTGTGTGTGTGTGTGTGTGTGTGTGTGTGTGTGTGTGTGTGTGTGTGTGTTCTGTTCACGGAGGGACCAATCCAGGGACGGTGTCAGCCATGGGTTCCCGGTACAGGAGCACCTGGACCAGGTCGGCACGGAGTTCACAGCATCGACCGGGGCCTGCCCAGGACGCCTGACACCTCGCGGCCATCCGCCCTGGAGCTGAGACCTGAGTGCCACTCCGACGGCGGTGGCTACTTAGAACGCGCCGCGTCGCCGGGGGGTTCCGGCCTGAGCAGGGCCGGCGGTCGATGGCAGACCGTTAGCAGGCGCCAGGCCTGCTCCCCCCCCCCCCCCCCCCACATACAGCCGCCCAGACGGAGGCGGCGCCGGGGGTGACGTTGGCAGAGGTGAAAAAGCTTCTGATGTGCAGGATATGATTGGTGACAAAAACGAGCACCTTTGCGAGGTATTTGGTGACGCAATTGGGAACATGGAGACAAATCATAGCAAATATCCCAGCCAGAGGAAACTTAAATATTGGCATTGGTCTGTACTCGCTAACGCTTGCAGCGTGAGTTTGTGTAGAGCATGTGTCGAAACATTGAAGTTGCGCTGTATGAGTAAGTTGGGTCCCAAAAGGTTGCCAAGTATAGTAGCTTTGACCAGGATAACTTTAGCAGATGACCGGAACATACTGCAAACCATATTACACCGGTGCTGATGTCAGAGATCAGTGGCGACACTGTGCTTTTGCAATGACAGTGTTTTCGACAGATTTTTCAGCTAAGATTCGCTTTTCATACTCAACAGTATAACATGTGAAAATATTAGGCTTATTTCTCGTGAGAGCTGTGGCCGACCCCAGCACCTTTAGTGCAATCAAAACAGTTTCACCCCAGATTTCAACCATTTTCGCTTCAGAGTTAAGAACAGGGGCATAGGTTTCAAAATTGGTTCGAGGGGGGCTTAACTCTAAGAACTGATGAGTGATGAAACGTGATGACTTCAAAATGGTTAATGAAGATAGGAAAGTCCATTTTCTTACCACCCACGTCCTCGTCGGATCACGGTATTAGTGGCTTTGTTCGAAATTGCTCCTTCGTTGGCCAACGAGTCAGCAGGTTTGCTCCCGTGATTGAAACTGACGTCACTCAATCCCCAGCGCTGATTCAGGTCGTGAATTTGTCACACAACACCAGTGTCACCAGCCTCCATTTTAGCAGAACGGGTAAGGATCTGACCGTGAGGCACGCCTGCAGCAACTGCTGACGTGATCCTGATGTTCGGCTTGCAGTGAGGCGGGTCTCGCGACTTCGTTCGTGGTCCGAGGCTAGTAGACTGTGCACAACCTCCAGCGTTTTCAAATTACAATTAGGTCTCCAAAGTACGATTAGCTTAGCATGCCCCCCCCCCCCCCCACACACACACACCGGTTTTCGAACGATACCGCTCCGGCATGTCATGCAATCGCGTACAAACCTTCAGTAACCCTCGGGCACTCATTGCCCGTGTTTTGACACCAAAAACGCGTCCCTGGCAACCCTGCTTTCTAAGTAGCTGCTGGCTTATAGGAACGCTGTACGGTGATCCACAGCTGGTGCGGGTAACGGGCGGCACTCGGCAATGTGCGTTACGCCGTTACGTCAGCGGATGCCTACATCACAGGTATGTGGGTGGAAATACAGTTATTTCAATTTCGTGTCACTTCTGCGCATGATCTGATAAATGAGGGTCTGCCAAGTTTTAAAATTTCGTTTTGCAGGAAAATTTGGCCTTTTGACCAGGCCTAGCAGGTTCGATTATTTACATATTATGGTTGTGAGGCCGCTGGCCAAGCATGTTCTCGCTCTTCCTCGTACATCTGACGTCTTGTATTTGAACCGAGGCAACGTGCTCATCAGCCCTCAACCCGCTGCGTCGGTTACTCATGCCCTAGAACCTACACAATAACCACCGGGGCTTTTGGCATGGCCGGCAACTGCTTCTTCAGCGCGAATCTTCCAAAGCATAGGTAGGTATGATGTTTGTGACTCATTGCATTTCATTCATCTCTGATTTATGTGGTTTATCGTATGTATATCTTCTTGCGACGGTTTCTGATAGATTCGGCTCCATGTGACAATTTAAGCTCTTCCAAGTTTTGTCGGTGACAGAACAGTTCATTTTTCACCGCTGGGGGTTGGCACGACAGCAGAGGTCGGACTTTGTACGTCGGAGGTGTTTAGTTTCATACCGCTCGTGTCGGACCGGCCCGAAGTAGCGACCCTTAACACGTCGGTGGTTTCCGTCGCTAATGGTGGGCTTTGACAGGAAGTCAGAAAATTTAAATATTTTGCCTACTGGTTGGTATACGTCTCTGTTGCCGATGTGGTTGCGCTCACGGGAGCTGATTGCAGAATAGTGTGTCATGACGTCATGTAGAAAATTGCGATTTGAATTAGCCGAAACACATGCGTAACACCTACGTTACATGTTACATTCCTCACAATACCCGGCACACTCTTACAACAGAAAACTGGGCGCCACTACAAATTGATTAACAGTTTCCTAAAAAAATAAATCGCTATTATAATCACATAAATAGGTAGTCTTTGGTGAACAAGCTCCCTTAAATCCGCGAAATCTCCCCTTGTCAGCTTTGCATAGCTCCGCGCGCTTCTATTCCCGCCATAGAATGGGGTGCTTTCTGGGCATGCAAATGAGATGGTTTGAAATTAGCTACGAGATGGGCACGGTTTAACCTACTAGTCTGTATCAATAGACAGGAAGTTATGGCATGTAATAAGCTCAGGACGCCCCGCTGGACGTCCCCTGTTGTTCATCCGGCATGAAACCAACAGTGTATTTTATCCTGTTGTGGGCCGTAGGTTATGACGGCAATGGTTTCAAACCACGCCGTTCAAATGGGTTTGATGCAAACATTCTTTTCAATAGCTTTACCAGAGCGCACATTTTCGATAACTTTCGATACAATCAGCTAATACCCAGCTTCGCTATAGAAATTCACCAACCTGCGTGAACTGTTACTACGTCCGGCATCTAAACCTGGGCCAGGTAAATATTTACGGACACTGTGATCAGCCGCACCTGGCCCAGCTTGGCAGCCCAGACCCTCACCGATCAGGGGGTGTATGGAGCTCCACATCCGGGCGAGCCCTTCCCAGCTCGGCAGCCCAGACCCTCACCGATCAGGGGGTGTATGGAGCTCCACATCCGGGCGAGCCCTTCCCAGCTCGGCAGCCCAGACCCTCACCGATCAGGGGGTGTATGGAGCTCCACATCCGGGCGAGCCCTTCCCAGCTCGGCAGCCCAGACCCTCACCGATCAGGGGGCGTATGGAGCTCCACACCCGAGCGAGCCCTTCTCACCCCGGCAGCCCAGACCCCCAACCGATCAGCGGGTGTATGGAGTTCCACACCCCAAGCGAGCCCTTCCCACCCCGGCAGCCCAGACCCCCAACCGATCAGCGGGTGTATGGAGTTCCACACCCCGAGCGAGCCCTTCTCACCTCGGCAGCCCAGACCCTCACCGATGAGCGGGTGTATGGAGTTCCACACCCCAAGCGAGCCCTTCCCAGCTCGGCGGCCCAGACCCCCACCGATCAGGGGCTGTATGGAGTTCTACACTCCAAGCGAGCCCTTCCCACCCCGGCAGCCCAAACCCTCACCGATCAGCGGGTGTATGGAGTTCCACACCCCGAGAGAGCCCTTCCGGAGCCGCTGTCCGATGGCCAGCTCCATGTAGAACAGCGGGATGCCCTCCACCAGCAGCATCACGAAGTACGGGATCAGGAACGCACCTGAAGCGGAGGACAACAGCCGTGAGCCGGGACCGTTCGCAGCATTCGGCGAGCGCTCAGTATGCGCACGGCAAGTTACAGGTTGCAAGCAGCTGGCTGGTTGTTGTCAGAATACACAGCTGGCATGTTTGTATGTCAACAGAATAGAGCAATTGTGCACAAATCAAAGTTTTGGATGACCAAATAAATCCACGCACAGGGTAGGTTCTGCACGTCGCTCCTCTGGTAGGTAGCAGTTGAAATGCTATAGTGAGCGACGTGTTTTTTCTGCAGTTGCATTAAGTTGCTATGGCGAAGAGATCTTCCACTTAAAAAACAGTTATTACCTTTATGAAAGACGTGAAAAGCACCGACAAATGAAAGACTCACAAGAGCTGGAAGATGCAGTTGTACACACCAACTGTGGACAACCGGCTGATAAAACGTTGAGGAAACAACCTCAGACATGACAGGGGAAACAAACAACCACCATGAAAACGGACGCAGCTGTGCATCGTTGCCGGCCCGGCAGCCAGCCGCTCTCCGACCACTCCCCGCCCGTCAGGCATGTGCTTATTGCGAGGGTGACTTCCGGGCGTCGTTTCCGGCGCGACGCCCCCCGGCCGGCGGCCGGCGGCCGGCGCCGCGTGTCTGGGCAGGGGGCCAAGTAAGCACAGACACCGGCCGGCGTGCGCCGCGCCGCCACCTGCCACCGCGCCCGCACGCGGCCCCAGAGACGCCGGCGAGCACCTCAAGCTGCCGCCCCACCGCTTCCAACCAGAGGTGGCCGGGCCCGTGCCGATGCCCTTCCCGCCACCTGCCACCAGAGAGAGGTTCAAGAGCTCCGCCTGCCGACAGCCACATTGAATCCAAGAACGGAGCGATGCGTTTAAACGAACGGCCCTTGGCGTGCCGCGCGTAAGGACGGCGTCAATCCTGGCCACCCTCTCTGGATGGCGATGAGGTAAATGCTGCTCTGGTGTGCTTTTGTTATGCAAGCAACAGATGCCGGTGCTTTGTCGCTTCCCTCAAGAAGTTCCGATAGGCAAAAGTTGGAGAATGGCTTGAGTCCAAGTTGGGGGTGGGGGAAAAAGAAGCCCTCCCCTCGCCGGCGGAATAGGAGGCTACACTGTTGCTTGCAGCCGTTTAGAATTGGAGCAGTGCCAAAGTTTTTAGCGCTTTTTTATCTCTCACATCCGTTATCTGCTATCCTCTGGCAAACAGTGAGATAAAGGACGTGGCTATCAAAAAACGGCGTGCTGAGACCGAGCGTTCGGCATTTTGTGTTCACGACGAGAATCTTTACGTTCTGTAACCAACAGAAAATGACAAAATGACAAAAAAGAATAGCTTCTATATCAATTCAATGACGTCTTACTGAGGTAACCTTGCTGAGACGCAGCGAATCCTCCACAAATCATCCACCCACATGCCAAATCAAATGCGACATTCAGTTGTGGGTCTCGCCAGGCTCCTATTCATCCTCCCACGCGCCTGCCAAAAGGTCATCGTTCGCCTGGCAGCGCGGGGGCCGCTCGATCGGCGCCGCGCGCGGCGTCCCTCTGCGGCGCGCCCAGCCCGGCTCATCGCCGCCGCCGCCCAGCATCGATCTCGTGGCAGAACACGTGCGGCCCGGCCTGGCCGCGCGTCGCCCACGACGGAAAATTCCGCCGCTGGCGCCGTTTCCGCCGACCACCCCCGCCCGATGGGATGCGTGCGGCGCGCGCAACGCCGCGGCAAATATAGCTCCGGTGCTGCCCGTCGGGCACCGGCTGCCTTGGCCGCCGGCGCCCTGACCTCGTGACGTGGGGCTTCCGTCAGAGGGGCGGAGCCGTGACGCCGCGGCTGGGTGACGCGCCGCGCGTGGGTGGCCGCTGATGCGGCGCCGTAGAGCCGGGGCGGTTGCAAAATCAGGCACATGACACGCTGGACGTAAGGCGTGGATCTGGGGCACGTCTGCGGGCGTTTTGCGCGCTCGATTTCGTTTCTATATTCGTGCTAAGGAAAAGGTTGACGACGGAGGCATCTAGCGCTGTCCCTAAGATGTTGTCTAGCGTTCATCCGACCACGTTTTCCGTACGTCAATCTCTCGACAGGGCTCAGACGATCGACTGTTTCCATGGTAACAGTGTTTCCATGGTCGTTGAGGAAAGCTGCCGGGATTGCGTGAGCCTAGCTTAGTACACAGAACGGTGCACTGAAATAGCAAACATAGTCCGGGTGAAAATGGCGCCAGTTTGAGTCACTTTCTCTGGACCGGTCTCAAAAGCTAGTTTTAAAAGTACGCCACTGGTTCATGGGCAAAACGGCTACGTTTAGTTGGTTGATCAGCATCATGTTCCAGTCTGTCGATGATGTTCAGTGGAAACGGCGAGAAGAATGTCTCGACAAAATACAACAAAAATAATGACCTACGTCGTGTCTGAATGTGTATGGTTGCCTCGAGGTCATCTAGATCGCACTGATCAGTTCAATAACTAAGTATATATATATATATATATATATATATATATATATATATATATATATATATATATATATGTATATATATACATATATATATATATATATATATATATATATATATATATCGTATGACATGCTTTAGATAACGTTTGCGAGATATATTTAGTTACACAACATTATTGGGACAATTTCGTAGCATCGAAACAAAGATGCGTCTATCTAAAATACGAAAGTTGTTGATTTATATAGAGTTGTAATATGTGCTACTTCATAAACAAATTTCAGGTGGAAATCCTTCAAGCTAGCAGCTCACGTTTCATCCTCGCGTTTCCTCAGTTTCCCGGACGAGCATTGTTACATTTTTTACAACATGCATTTTAAAAACTATTTTCTTCCCACGTCGAATGCAAAGGTGAAGCCGCTGAGTCCTGGGATTCTCCCGGAACTGAATCAAATGATGAATCAATTGTTTTGGAAAGAGCACATTTCTGTCCAATGTTTCTGTCTCAATGTGCCTTCACTGATCTACTGAAAGGCAGAATGGGGGCATTTTACGTCCTGTGACAATCTGTAAACAGATGCAGACAAAGTTGCAACTCCTCCAACATTCTTAAAATGACTACGCAAATCTAACTATGCGATCAACCACGCATAGTCATGTTGAGCAATACCAGACAGACTTCAACTGCTCAGCATACATAGATGCACCATGCCGGTAACAACAGTCGACAGAAATGGTGGAGCGTTGTATGTTCACGCTGGCTTAAGTTAATGCGAAGATAGTCTGTCAGATATCCAAAGGTGAACTGCCAGACATCCCCATTCTACCTATAGTAGCAGGCGTCTTTCATCTCTTCCTGGCCGCGAGACAGAACAGAGACAGTCACCATCTGGAGGCTCCGTTTCGAGAGAACGGCGGTGTTGAAGCAAAAAGCATTTGCGTTCGACCAGGAAGAGGAAGAGCAAGCGTAGGTAGCAGAATACGACAGAGCGACAGCCCGAGCCTTAAGTTATCACCGGTGCCCTGCAAAATCTCTCGTCTGTTCCTTTGGACCCGAAAGTGTCCAAAGCGATCATGTCATCCTGGGCACGCAGCTGTGAGCTGGCGACACAGGTCTGGAAGGTCTACGCAATAGCCCACTTCATGACACCCCGCCTCACTCCGCCCGGGTCGCGCTGGCTGGCACGCGCCGCGGCGGCTGGCGGGCGGTCACGAGCGGCTGGGCTGGGCTTGGAGCGCGGGACGCCGACGACGGCGCCCCATAGGTTTCAGGAACAAGTATTACAGCGAAACGGAGGCTCGTGGGACAGAAAGCGAGCCAAGACAGATGCAGCCATTCATTCCGCTTCTACCGTTTTGTTGATGGAGGCAGGTAAGGCAACGTTGTGCAGGATACGTATCTATCCTTCCCTTTTTGCAGATGCAGGCAAGAATCGGCGCCACCCAATCTCACAAGATATGGGAAGCGACAACCGTATCCAATGCACCTACCTCCACCGTTCTGCTGACAGAGGTAGGGGAAGCGCCAGACATTGCCGAGACCGACGGCGTATCCAATGACGGAGAGCATGAACTGCAGCTTGTTGTCCCAGCTGGCGCGCTGCTTCTGCACGGTGACCTGGCCGGTGGTGCCCCCGGCGTCCGTGATCTGGATCGGGTCAAACTCGGCGTTGCCCACGCCCGAGGCGTCCGACCCCAGCGACGAGTTGGACTCAGAGGGCCTCATCATCGGAGAGAATGGCAGCAGGCGGGTGCAGTGCAGGCAGAGGGCGTGCCCTAGCGCGGCGGTAGCTCCTGTCGTCTGTCGTCTGTCTTCAGAAGCTCAGGTGTTCCTCGGGGCAAGCGTCTGTAGCGGGCACGAGCTGCCTCCGCGGACGATGTTAGCGTACTATGCTGTTGATATCACGCTGCGCCGAGCCTGGCTCGGGCATGCGTATAGCCGGCCTCCTCCGGTTCTGGAAAATCGATGACGGCGCCGTCGATGACGGCGCGCACTGGCGGCGGGCGCATGAAGGGCGAGGGTCGGGCTATTTTGGGAGGCATCAGGTGTGTCTGAACGCAACCAGTCCGTCCAGGGGGACACTGCCAAGTGCCGGCTGGACCCAGTGTTTTTCCGTCCGGGCAGACACCGCTGAGCCTCAGCTGGTCTCGGTGTTTTTCCGACCGGAATATCCTGGGCAATCAGAACATTACGTCCGAACGGATGATTAAGTGTTGCCTATTCATTCATAGTTATTTTTATGTTCGTTTCATTCTGCTCTATTCCATTTATGTCTTTCGCTTTATCGTTTATCATTTCATTTTATCTCATTTTCAATGTTTCGTACGCGCTCCATCGCGTTCACGGATGTACCGGTAACTCACGTGCGGTCACGCTTCGTCCTCTGCTGGTAACTCACGTGCGGTCACGCCCCGTCCTCTGCTGGTAACTCACGTGTGGTCACCCCCGCCCTCTGCTGGTAACTCACGTGCGGTCACCCCCCGTCCTCTGCTGGTAACTCACGTGCGGTCATGCCCCGTCCTCTGCTGGTAACTCACGTGCGGTCACGCCCCATCCTCTGCTGGTAACTCACGTGCGGTCACGCCCCATCCTCTGCTGGCAACTCACGTGCGGTCACGCCCCCGTCCTCTGCTGGTAACTCACGTGCGGTCACGCCCCATCCTCTGCTGGTAACTCACGTGCGGTCACGCCCCATCCTCTGCTGGTGACTCACGTGCGGTCACGCCTCGTCCATTGCTGGTAACTCACGTGCGGTCACGCCCCATCCTCTGCTGGTAACTCACGTGCGGTCACGCCCCATCCTCTGCTGGTGACTCACGTGCGGTCACGCCCCATCCTCTGCTGGTAACTCACGTGCGGTCACGCCCCATCCTCTGCTGGTAACTCACGTGCGGTCACGCCCCATCCTCTGCTGGTAACTCACGTGCGGTCACGCCCCATCCTCTGCTGGTGACTCACGTGCGGTCACGCCCCATCCTCTGCTGGTAACTCACGTGCGGTCACGCCCCATCCTCTGCTGGTAACTCACGTGCGGTCACGCCCGTCCTCTGCTGGTAACTCACGTGCGGTCACGCCCCATCCTCTGCTGGTGACTCACGTGCGGTCACGCTCCGTCCCCTGCTGGTAACTCACGTGCGGTCACGCCTCGTCCCCTGCTGGTAACTCACGTGCGGCCACGCCTCATCCCTTGCTGGTAACTCACGTGCGGTCACGCCCCGTCCTCTGCTGGTAAGTGTAGCCACGCTCATACAGCATGTGTGCGGACTAACGCGGTTTCAGATCAAACCTGACCTGGTGCCGCATATGGCGTCAGACGCCTGTTTGTGTCCACGCATTTGCTCCCAATGCAGCTAGCGAAAGTCCAGAAGACGCCTAAAGAGGCAATCGAACGGAATGCTATTTCACGTGCTCGGGAAAAGTGCCAGAAGTGAAGTGAAGGATGTCCATTTAGGCCGCGGAATTTTCCCGTCCCATTGTTGAGGAAGTGTGAGATGTCTTCGCGAGATGAACCATTCCTGATATCTGGTGAGTCGTAGCTATATTAGGCACAAGAATGCACAACATTTTATTCAATGCTGATGACGTTTTTTAACCGCACGAACAGCTTTGAATTTTCCCATACGCGCCACTGTGACTGCTGTACTGCAAACCGCTGCAAAATGCACAATTGTACACAGGCACCCACGCTTAATGACCCATGGACGCCTTTACTTCAATGAGCACATAAAAGTAAAGGCGCTTAAGTGTAATCGTGAGGTAGTGAGGTGGTACAGCTCATTCCAGTAACTTATCATTCATTTTCGTTGGTTTTAAATGTAACATCCGCGGACTCATGTAGGCTCAGTTTGCGAAAATGAACATAACACAAATGGACGAAGAAGCCGCCCAAAATTTGAACAACGCATTGCTCCGACTTAACCACAACTCTGAAACCAACCTCATACACCCCATAGTAGATGAAACGCCAGTCAAGGTCCACCCCACGTTCTCACCCACGTTACGCCATTTATAGATTCCCGTTGATTAAATGGACCAGCCATACTGTTCGTTGACACTATTCCACTCGTCGATCCCTACAGCTGTATTTCTGTCCCTCGGAGCTTCAAGCACGGTCTGACGCGTAAGATGACGTGTCTGAGGGGTGAGCTGTGGCTGGTCACGTGTGTATGTGGTCTCTCGTGTCAGGCCATTTGTCTGAGTGGTGAGCTGCGTCAAGTCACGTCTATGAGCGGTGACCCGTGTCAGGTCACGTGCCTGATCGGTCTGATGTGTTGGATCATGGGTCTGAGTGGTATTCTGAACTGTCAGATGACATTTCTGACTTCCGGTCCGGTCCCAAGACAAGCCTAGAAGGCCCAGGACAAGCCGAAAGGCTAACGGGGACGCTTCTTCCCTAACGTTGCGTTGTCGTTGATCTTAAGCAGTGCTGAGCATTTGTTCAAAACTGAATTACTAGACGTCCGTTGAAGGTTCACAGCTAAATAGTTGCATCAGAATAATAACTCATTAACTTTAATTACTCAAAAGCGCCTTGATCCATCACTAATTTGGTCTGACGCTCATTAATATGCCTTTTGTAAGGAGTTGCAAATTCTTCTTAATCTTAAAGTTTTGAAAAAAACAGCAAACAATTCATTCTTTTTCGCGAATAAATAATCTCTTTTCAGAGCAGGCCCTCGGCGCTGCTTTTGTAACACATGTGTGCATTTCAAAGGCACTTGTTCTTAGGCGAGTGAAATAGTACTTCTTTCCACCACTAATAAGTATTCTACAGCTGGAACTACGACCAACATTCATTGGGAATTACCGGTGACGCAGTCCAGTCTCACCTAACTAAGTGCGAATTTGGGGTTGCAACACAGAGCAGTGTTTGTTTTGGACACGATCAAGGCAGTACTTGGCAGCTCCCACCCCACCCCCTCGCCACCACCTGAATCACAGTGGGACACTGACGCGGTGCGGGCTCTTGCGTAACTGCTCACGTGACTACTACATACTATATATGAGGAACTATTTCTCGAAACAGCCGTTTTCACGATGGATTAATATGCTGAAAAGCTGTTGCAATGTTTCTAAAAAGCGTTTCGGAAGTTCTAGTATGTACTAAATATTTTAGGAAGGAAATGATTGTCCACGTAATATCGTTGATATCGAGTAGCTAAGTCACGTTGGTTGAACTCAGAATAAGTTCATTATATCAAACGAAACACTTAATACACGCTTCTTTCTCCAGTCCATGCTTTTAGCTTACCCTCACTCTAGCATAATACCCCGATTGGCAACGGCGGAGATCTGGTATTGGGCGTTGTATGCTGGTCACGCCATTGCTGCTTACTTTGGTGTCGTGTGGAGTAAGGCTTGCTTTGAACATTCCCGCATTGTTGTCATGTTTTGATATGCTAGCTCTGTAAATTCTGCATACTTATGAACAGGAACGCGGCCAGGGTATAGGAGCCTCTTTTGTCGCGTCTATGCCACACATTTCACCGAATCTTTTTTAAATGTTCAGAAATATTTCAGCAGGAAGAGACATGGCTTCTTAAATGCTGGTATAAGCGTGATTTTGTTGACAGCTAGGAAACCGCAATTTCAACACATACGCCCAAACAAGCATGAAAGTTGTCAAATTTCTGCACAGCATATCTAGCCGAAAATCCATCATGTATCGCCTGTATCGTTAAGAAATAAACGTAGAGCAATTCTTTAAGTTTTGAGAAATCTCGTACCGTAATCCTTCGTGAAAATGGCTAATCTTCCATTTCCAAATTGTCGCACTTTTGCTATGGGCAGGACACCTTATTGTTTCGTACTTTCGGCAAACTTCAGAATTGGCATGCGACCTGCTTTGGTGGTAAATCACTTCTTTGCATGAACGCCATTTAATCCGACAGCGTGCAGCGATCATCCCTTAATGACAATTGCTGGATATGCGCTGTGAGACGCATGAAACGGCACGTGTGTAATGCCCGTTTATAGCTTACTAGTAGGCTTATGTGTGTGCCGAACACACGGACGCCTATTGTGACGACCAAGTGCGTTGGAGGCTTCGACCAGAACAGCTACCAGTTGCGCAACCCTCGTCGTACTCACGTGGTTGACCGGCAAGCCTAGTGTATGGGCGTAGGCGCTCCCCCAGCGTTAGGCCTCTAGACAGCCTGACGGAGACCTCGTCAGCTCTGGAGGAGTCGCCGGAGAGGTGGCGGAACGGGCGGCGCCGGGAATCGCTCCGGCGCCGGTAGGCGCTGAGCTGCAGGGGTGTCGATCTTGTAAAAGATTGGGGGGTAGTGGTCAACTGGTGTTTATATCATTTATCATAAAGTTCTTAATTTAAGCATCACAGAAATCATGCATGAGTGAATCCAATTGGGGGGGGGGGGGCAGGATGCACGTGCCCCCTTTTGATCAGAACGAAAAAGCGCCCCTTTACAGGCCATCTTGGGGCGCCGAGAGCGTACCTCTACGCCAGCCATGGACGGTGGCACGTATATTTGTTTGTGGGATGGGGACGGGCTTAGCTATGAAGAACTTTAGCCATGGCCGCACTCCAGAACTTTTCAGCCTAACCTCTCGAACCTTTGCGTGTCTCAGGAGGCTACGTGTATGGAGTTTGTTGTTTCGCTTATTAGCTAGGATGCTGTATTTTTTTACTATTACGGCGAGCAAAAGCAATTTTTTATGACGATGAGAACGGGCGCTCTAGTGTTGGAAGGTGCAATGCTATATGAGACGAAGATGCGCTTTTTATGGGCCGGTAAACATCCCACTACATCCACGAACCCAGCTACCGGGTTTGCGGGCCAAGTCGCTTGGCTAAATTACAAAGCCTTCACAATTTTCCATTTTACCTTGGTTTGAGGTCACATCGCCACCATGTAAATA